AATCCTAAATAATCTGTATAGTGTATGTACTAAAAGAAAACATGATACAGCCACATGATGAAATACATGTGCAATTTTTTTTTTTAAATGACATTTTTTTTTTCTAGGCCTGGTGGCACATACTAATCTCAGTGTCTCAGGAGGCGGAGGCAGGAAGATTGAAAGTTCAAGGCCAGCCTCAGCAACTTAGTGAGGCTTAAGGGGCTTAGGGAGACCCTGTCTCAAAATTTAAAAATTCAAAGGGCTGCGATGTAGCTCACTGGTAAAGTGCCCCTGGATACAATCCAGTACAAAAAAAAAAAAAAAAAACTTTTTTGAAGAATTTTTAATGGGAAATTGATTGTAATATAATATTGAAGGAATAGGTAGTGCTCAAAGATGCACATATTTATTGAAACCTCCCAATTATATTATTTACGTATATATTTTTACCGTTTTTCAGTCAACAAGTCTGCTAATTTATGTCAGGCTTTCTAGCAGAGCAATTCATTCTTCAGACCTCAACTTCAGTAGCATCTCAGCGGCCTCAAGAATGATTTCAAATGCTGAAATTCATCACCTGTCAGTCACTCATTCATTGAGCATCTACTGCGCACGATAATGGGCAGGGCAGACGTACCAAAGAGACCCGTGGTGGCTGCCCCAAGGAAAATACAACTACAGGGTTGTCAGAAGTGTCTTCCGTGGGAGCTAATTTTTCCTTATTTTCTAAAAGGTTTGAAAATGAGGTGAAGTGATATTAAATAAACTGGACAGAGAAATTTGATGCTGCAATGAAAAGCAGGAAGTAAGGGGACAACCTGAACGGTGGCCTTTTGGGACGGCTCGGGGTATGCTCCCCGCCCATAAGCAGCAGTATTTCCCTGTCTAGTTCCCAGAGGAAAGGTCAGGTTCAGGGACTATTCAAGGGGCCACGAGGGGAGGCCAGCATGCTAATATCCAGTTTCCTTAGGATAATCTGGCTTTGAGATTGAAATCTGTTCCATGTGGACCAGAGAGTAAATCTGTGAGACCTACCTGTGAGAATGGAACTTGGGTCACACAGTTCATAGCTGGTGTTCTTGTTTAAATGTGTCCCCTTCAAAATTCAGCGTTAAAACTTAATGGCCAGTGCCATGGTATAGAGATGAGGCCTTTTAGAGGTGGTTAAATTATGAGGGCTCCTCCTCTCGTGAATGGGATCAAGGCACTCACAAGATTTTCCAAAGAGTTCCTCTCACTTGCTCTTCCAACTTCTGCCACGTGAGGACTTGGTGTCCCTACCCTCCCTTCCAGAGATGGAGTAACAAGGTAGCATCTTGAAAACTGAGACTGGGGCCTCCATAAACAAGGAAACTGCTGGCACCTTGATATTGAACTTTAAGCCTCCCAGATTGTGAGAAATAAATTTCTGTGATTTTAAAACTACCCAATCTCAGGTATTTAGTTGTAACAGTGCAAACAAACTAAGACAACTGGGGATCAGGAGACAAATGTTTACGAGTCCCATGTCATGCTGCTACTCAAGGGAAAAGAAAGCAAACAAAAAAACCCTTCTCTCTAGGAAGAATTGGTTAGTAAATTAGAAAAAAAATTCAAAGTCAAATGATAGCAAAACCAAACAAAGTCAGGAGTTGGAAAAGATACTTCAGAAATTAAAAACAATTAAAGGTATAACCCTGCTATTTTCTCTTAGAAATATATATATTTTTAAATACTATGTCTGTCCTTATAGAAAAATTGTGAAATGTGTACATCAAAATCTCATCGGCGTATCTGGAGGTAGGGGCATTATGTTCTTGTTTTTCTGTTCTTTTCCTCTGGTTCATTCACTTGCTACGATTTCAAGGTATCACCTGTTGCTTGCTGTGTCCAACATGACATCGGCACTTTGTCTAGGCCATGGCATGCATGTATAGAAGTTTTCAAAGTCTTTCTCATTTCTAAGCTAGCAAAAAAAAGAGAGTGGAGGGAAAAGTTTTATGTAAAGAGATGTTGTGGCATAAGGTTTAGCTTGAGGTTTGGGCAGAGAGAACTGTTAGGAAAATCAAACGGGTAGGAGGGGGTTTTAATAATTTGTGTTTTCATTTCACCCTGGGTTTTCTTAAAATTCAAGTAAATGTTGACTTGGCTTTTTGAGGATGGGTCATATTTCTTTGTATTTCTTTTATGGGAACATGACCTTGAGATTGAACAACAGGAATTGACTTCATACATCATTGTTGCATTTTTCTCAAACACAAAACATTGCCTCAAATTAGAAAAGCTAGATCATGTTAATAAGTCTTGTTGATTTGCTATTTAATAAGAACACCACCCTCTAATTAATTATTTACATACCCTCAGTCCACATTCCCATCCTCACATGCTTAGGATATTGGATCTGTCTGATATAAAGGAATTGCATGAAATTTATAAGTTGAATTTACTTCTTTCATAACCAAGTGTGATATCCTTGGCTATTAGAACAATTGATACTATTTTGGGGAGTTCTTCCCAAGATCCCTCAACTCTTCAGTGGAACACCCTCTCACATCTGATTTTAACCTCAGATTTCCTCAGCAAACTACTATGTACCCATGTCAGACAGATGTAGGTTATATTTGCTCAGGCGGAAACAGTGGTGTTGGGGAAGTCTGGGAACTGTGGGCAGAATCCTATCCAATGCCCTCAGCTCCTCAATTCAGTGACAGTGAGGGAATTTTAAGCAGTTCAAAAACAGTGTTGTAAGCGTGGGTGAGGCTCATTGATAGAGAGCTACCCTAGTATGCCCAAGGCCCTGGGTTCAATCCCCAGTAATGCTTAAAAAAAAAAAAAAAGAAAAAAGAAACCAAAACCCATCAGATAGTATTTTGTGACAAAAGAAAAAAATATTAAAAAGATTTGCCAAAATGTAATAATTTTTTGATGCAAATATATCATTTAAAAAGCGAAGACAACCCACAGAATGGGAGAAAATATTTACATATACAATGAGATGTCCACAGAACAGATTTTTAAATCTTACAATTCAACAGTGAAAAGATTATCTAACTTTTAAATGAGTAAAGTACCTAGAGACAAGTCAAAACAATGAAATACTGCATCATACCCAGCAGGCTGCCTAGAATCAAAAACATTAATACTCTTTAAATGGACGAGAGATAAACCCAGAGGTGCTTTTATCACTGAGCCAGGTCTCCAACCCTTGTTATCTTTTGAGTCAGGTCTCACTAAGTTGCTTAGGATCTCACTACGTTGCTGAGGCTGGCTTTGAACTTGCAATCCTCCTGCCTCAACCTCCTGACTGCTAGGATTACAGGAGTGCACCATTGTGCCTACTAAAAATCCCATTGAATTGACTTCCTCTTCTACAGTGCCATTCTTTCTTGTTCTTTGCTCTTTTGGGGAGAGAGGTTGGAGGGTAAACTACTTCCCCATACATCTTAGGGTCATGTTCTTAGCAAACTACATGATAAAAAATAGAAAAAATATATATATATATAAAATTGCTCACCCTATAAAGTCAACTGTGTTCTAAATTTATTGTCTACAAAGAATTCAAATGTGGTAAGCACTCTGGTAACAATGTTTAAAACACATGCAGAGGGCTGGGGTTGTGACTCAAGCGGTAGCGTGCTCGCCTGGCATGCGTTCTGCCCAGGTTCGATCCTCAGCACCACATACAAACAAAGATGTTGTGTCTGCTGAAAACTGAAAAATAAATATTGAAATTCTCTCTAAAAAAATAAAAATAAATAAAATAAATAAAAATAAAACACATGCAGATAATAGTAAATTCAAAATGTGTGACTGTATGTAAATTTTAAAAAAATTTAAGCACTTAGGAACATATATTAAAACCTCATTTATAAGTTATATATCATATATGTTGCCCATATATGGGCAACATATGTGATATATATGATGAGTTTATTATACAGATCTCATTTTGAATTTTCTCCTTATTTTTTCCCCAGCAGAAAATAAAACCACAAAAAGTTTTAAGTACTATTCCTTTTATTATTCCAGTGCAGAAAAACATTTCCATTTAAAACAAATTGACATGAATATTTAGTTTTTAATATCTGCAATGACCAATAAAATGTAGAATATAAAAATGAATTCATTATTGTAGTATCCAAATTCAATGCATAGAAATTCTTTTCCATCTAAAACATTTTTCTAAAACTACAATCAAAAAATATGTTCACTTAAAACACTTGTGTGATAAAATAATAATTTCAGTTGATTATGCATATCATAAATAGAATATAAGAGATTATATTTCTTTAAATACCATTTGTTTCATGTGTCCAATTTCACATTTCCTAACATCCATTCCACAAGTTAATAAAAAATATAACTGCATGCAAATAAAATAAGCTACTGAAATAAAATTCAAGGAGAACAAAAGTTAAAATTAACTTATGAGGTAAATTTTACTTTTGTGTTCAAGCATCACAGGTATAAAAACTACCTCTTTTCACAAAGTCATTCAAATGAATATTTTCACAAAGCCATTACTTCAAGAGCCCCAAATTAAATTAAATAAAATTCCATGTTGCCTAGGTTATTAAATACCATGCTGCATACCATTTTAAGAAAAAATATTTACCTTAAAAGCCAGAATTCACTTATACTTTGCTTTCTACCCAATTAAAAAAAACTTGAAATAGTTACCGAAATTCCAACAAAAGTGTATATGTTTGTAAATATAAGTGTAATCTATGTAAAAACATATATTCCCAAAATACTGTAGTGCGGTGCAAGGTTCCAAGGAAAATTCATCCGGAGAGTAAGGTGACAAGAAGGCCGAGCAAGCATCCCAGAGCAGATGCAGAGCAGCCAAGGGACTAGATTCACACACTGCTTTTCTGGAGATGAAAAGGTGCTTCTCAGATCCTCCTACTTGCCTGGGAGTTCTAGGCTGGGTCAGAGTGGACCATCAAACTGAATCACTCCGTACTTCCCAGTGACCAGCCAGTTGGGATCCGAAGCCGCGAGCTGTTCACCTTGCCCAGGCTGCAGACCAACCTGAATTTCAGCTTTTAATGTTCTCAGGCTGCAGAGAGGGGCAGGATGGAAGCCACTCAGAGCCTGATGGAAGGGAACAGTAAACGCCCATTTTCTATCACCAGTCAACTTCCTATAATTCAAATCACCCTTGAATAAAATTAAACATGCCTTTTGTAGTTCAGCATACAAATCAGGGGCAACCTGGGACATAGCTGCATATTCGTGAGGCAAAGTCCAAAACATATGATCATGGTAAACCCATCTACCCATTTTAATATAGTTTTCCCAGTCAACCCCACACTTGGACACCCACTCATGATCATAATGTTTTACTTGTTCGATAAGCCAATTAAAGTCACGTATAGTAGTATCAGAAACAAACCATGGAATACATTTTCCATAAAAATGAATCTCAGTAGCCAGGTTAGTGGATAACAAAAAGTCAGCTAATACTAAATCTGTAAGAAGTTCAAACCCAGAATTATCCAGAACAATATCCACTCTAACTATGGGCACTTTTTCTCTTGTTTCCTTGCATTTACTAAGCAATGACCAAAGATGTTCCATATCATTCACTAAAATAAAAGGTTCTAGATCTTCCAAAGAATTTATTAGGTTAGTCTTCTGAGAACTACTTTCTCCACCTGATAGAGATAAATCGCACTTATTTCCCCAGAGTGAAATCTGAAAAAGAAAAGTACAAAACAGTCATCCTTGTTTTAACAACCAACAAAACTGTTATGTAGGCAGTGAAGGGAGGGGTTGCTAGGAATATTCATAAATTTTATTTCCAAAAAACTCCACCAGATCTATACTTTCTCAATGTAAAGTAAGTTTTCATGATGTTCTATCAATAAGGTGAAACAGTGAAATTTTTAGTCAATATGTAATAAACTTGTAAAAAACTGGATTCAGAGTCAGGTATGCTGGCACATGCCTGTAATCCCAGCTACTGGACTCAGAAGGCTGAGGCAGGAGGATCACAAGTTCAAGGCCAGCCTGGCCAACTTAACTAGACCATCTCAAAATGAAAAATAAAAAGGGCTGGGAATATAGCTCAGTGGTAGAGCACCCCTGAGATCAATCCCTAGTACTAATCCCCATCCCCCCACACAAATTCACTGGTTTGAATGATTTTTAGCACCTACACTATTTATTCAGAATGAGGCTTTGCATGTTGAGGATATTAAAACATCATCAAATGTTATGGAGAGGATCAGGTTTTGTAATTCAGAGTCAAAAGAAAAACCAAAGTTCCTTTTACCCTCCCAGTCCTCCGGAAAATAGCCCAGTTTCTTTTACTAATTACATTACCTTTAGGACATGGCAACCTGCCTGAGATTTGGTTCTCTTTTTTGTAAAACAAAAAATTGAACACAGCGATTTTTGCAAGACCTAACTTTAAATATAACAATATGAACAACAGTTCCACTGTAATCAATAATTTGGATTAAAGCTGAATTAATATTTCAAGTTGTTACTTTGTAGAAAATGATACATAGCCCTATTTTTTTTAAGTCTTAAAACTATATGTTTAAGACTGCAAGTTCTGGAATTAGACGTGGGTTCAAATCTCAGCATCTTCAATTAACAATCATTGGCAAGTTACTTACATACATACTCTTAAGGCTCAACTTGTGCAACTGAATAATTAGGCAATAATACTTTCCTCACAGAGTTTTGTGAGAATTAATGACATTATGCATATAAATAATGTACATACAGAAGTACTCAATAAATATTAGCCAAAACAGACTCTATTTTCTTTGTGATTTAAAATAAGGAATATGGTTAGGCATAGTGGTGCACGCCTGAGCTCCAGCTACTTGGAAAACTGAGGCAGGAGAACTGCAAGCACAGGAGCTCGAGGCCAGCCTAGGCAACACAGCAAGACCCTGTCTTGATAATGAAATTAGGAAAATACATGTTCCATCTCAAGAGTATTATTCTTAAAAAGACAAATAAATGAGTTTTTTAAAAATTATAAGGCTTAAGTAGTAACGGAAGTGTCCAAGACCACTGTTTTATATAGTTTGAAACACACACAACAGCATAAATAATGGCATTCATTCATCAACTGAGGTCAGGTTCTCTGTTGACCTCCTTCCCACATCCTTCATTTCACCTACACAGTTACTGATGCAATTATTTATCTATAGTCTTTCAAGATTACAAGTTCTACAACAGGAAGAATTTGCCTGTTTTTCCTGTCACCAAATGTAAGCATCTAGAAGTGTTTGACACAGTAGATCTGTAAGTATTTGCATGGACCCTCGTGAGTGCTGACTTTTAAAAATAGATTAACATTCCCTGCAAACTAGAACACTTCAGGCTTCTCTTGGGATGTTAACCTTTTGCTCACTGTGGGCAGTAAAAGAAGACAACTTTGGCTGCCTTTATTTGGGGAACAGCCTGGAGTAGCTGGCCAAATTAGATGGCAGAAAACAGATTAGTACTCATTTTTCTTTACAATATATTCTACCTATGGGACAAAAAACATATTCAAAGAAAACTAATTTTTATATTCTAAAAAAGATCAAGGATGAAAGTTCAAAAGGAAAAACAATCAAACAAAAATTTAGTTTAAAAAACTACTAACATAATACATATAGTACTGATCTATAAATACTGTGTAAGCTGACAATATTGGTATTTATAGAACTGAGTAAAAAACACATTCAGAGGATCTGATCTTTACCTGGAGAAGATGAAAAAACTCAGTTTTCAGCTGATTTGCATCTAGGTCTTCAATAGTACTCCTGAAATTTTGCAAGTGAGTACATAAAGTAATGCCAGGTTCCTGTGACTCAAAGAAATTTTGGTCTTTGGATTCTTTGAATACATCAAAGTCATTGATTGGTGGACTAAAGTAGAAGAAAAACATAAGTGAAACATTTATATTAAGTCTATATCTTTTTTAAAAAACAAATTTGGGTTAATTGTAGTACTTTAAAGGGAAGAAATTATCCAGTCTCAATAATCAATGGTAACAAATACTAGATAACACAGATAAACAAGTTACACAAAAATAAATTCCCAAAACTCATTTTAATTGTCAAAGATTCTCAAATCAGCTATTTTACTGGAATTAAATCAGATTTACTATGCATTATAGAATGACAAATTTTGATCATTTACTTATAGATCTTATAGATTTTTAGTGTGTGCATGTCAAATTTTATTCCCAGGTTTTTACCAAAGGCTGTGTTTATGTGATGTCTACATCTTCATGCTGTCCGGTGACAGAAATATAACTTAGAAGATAGGAATACTAACACAATAGCCTTAACAGAATGGAAAAGACATTCTGATGATCTGATGTTCTAAATGAGCTACTTTGCCCAGGAGCCATCCATATTAGGGTAAAAACATACCAGCACTTATATAGCCAAATGATGGCTGCCTCCTTCTGGTCAGTCAGTCACCAGGGGAAGTTATACCTTTATTCCAAGGATGCTGCCATTGCGCAAAGCACTTTGGGAATTTTCTTTAGAACCTGTGGCATATCATTAAATGTCCTGTGACCACATGTCTTCCCCTGGAGTCACCTTACTTTTGGAAACAGCCAAAAATCACTCAGAGCAATTTCAGTATAATAAAATATGTAATCAAATTGAATAGACACAGTTTTGGCCTTTATTAAAGGGTGACAAAAATAATAAAACTAATTTTTCTTTTTGAAGCTGTAAACTTGCTCTCAAAGAAAATCCAAAGAATACAAAGCTATTTTTATCAATGACAGCACTGCTGAAATCAGTTAAGTCTCTCAAGGTGACTTAAAACAACAAAATCCATTTAGATGCAGATATTCAAATGCAGGGTCAGTAAACCTCTGCTTGCAAACCCTATCAGGCCCACCACCTGTGTTCTATAATAGGCAAACTAAAAATGATTTTCACACTTATGAATGATTACAAAGCAAAAGAAAAGCAATATTTTGTGACATGTAGAATTCAAATTTCAGTGTCCATAAATGAAGTTTTCCCGAAACACAGCCATGCTCATTTATTTACATATAGCTTATGGCTACTTTCACACAATGGCAGAGCTGAGTAGTGGCAACAGACACCATATGGCCCACAAAGGCCAACATACTTATTATTGGTGCTCTCCTGAAGAATGTTTTGGCAACACATGTTCTTATGTTTTATTAACAAATCATTCATAAGCTGATAATGAACCTTATTTTAACCTCACATAAATGTT